CGTGCGGCGCCCCCTGTTGATTATAATGCTCCGACGAATGCAATTCCCGCCACGGCAGTCGCACTTAACGAAGTTTCCAAGCCCGCCGACCGAAGCCCGCAAGCTGCACCTTTGCCTCCAATCAAGGAATCCAATCCACAGGCGGCCGACTCCACAACGCAGATTGTGCCTCCATCCGTTACTACAGAGTCCTTGTCGCCGAGCGAAGCACCCGAGCCGGCACCGAAGCCGACTACCGAGTTTTCTCGCGTAAACAAACCCACGCTCAAAATCGACACGCACCGTAATCGTCAGTCACGCGTGCCTGCGGACCCGTCGTTCGACGCGGTGCCTGCTAAGGAGCAGACGATCAGCACTACACGGTCGACGTGGACAGATGCCACTAAGTCAGGCCGCGCTTCGCCGCCAGTAACTACCGCTGTTGATGCTGCGATCCCGCTGCGTAAAGCGAGCCTTAACGTTGCGCATGCTTGGCACCTTCCGCCCATTAAGGCGGAAACCTTTGGTAGTCTGTTTGATGGCGGCGTTGCGGAAAAGGATGAGGATAGCGGAAAAGAAGAGAATGGTCAGCGATCGTCGATTCCAGCGGCGCGTGAGGGCACAGAGACCGGGCCGGGTAAAGCTGGCAGCGACGACGGCTTGCTTCCGGATAATATGTCCGGGTCAACGCTATCGCTTGGGCGTAGCGCCCATGGCTATCGGTCCACCGGCCGGCCGATGGCTCCCGCTGTCGAGGCGCGTGACTCGGACGAAGAAGACACCAGCGCGGAGCCATCGGCGCGACGTGCGCACATTGATTATATGTACCGGCGGTTCCAAGAGGATGGCGAATTGACGCCAGAAAGTTCGCCTCGCAGGGACACAGTGACTGCGGCATCTACCCCCGTTGCTGAGAAGGATGAAGCAGAATCAGTCGCTACCGCCCTCGCTGTGGCTATGAGCGAGCCTATGACGCGCACTGCAGTGGCCAAAGCGGAGCATCCTGTCGAGATACCCAAATCCCAGGAGGTTGACGTACCTTCCAGCCTGAGACCGCAGTCTCCACCGATTGACGACTTGCTTGAACGAATTTCGCGGACACTGCAGGGCGTAGAGAGTGCGCAAAAGCTTCAGCAGCAACAGCAGAAGGACGCAGGAGCGTTCCTTCCGCGCGGGTTCACGGAGACATTTGGCGCGGGATCTGGAACCATTCCACCTCCTGCCACGCCAAACGATGTTACGCCGGCTTTGTCTCCTGTCCCGGTCCATGTGCCGTCTCCTCGCACTGCGGCTCCTAGTCCGCACGCGCAGGAGAGAGAAAAGGCAGCGTCGCCGGTTATTTCACCAGCTAAGGCTGTGGCTGCTTCCACGGCCCCGCCCGCGGCGCCACATCAGGTGGCTTCCCCTGTTGGAGACGACCCGCCCTTTGTCCCGCGCGTCCACGCGGTCTTGCCATCTCCGACTCCCGTGCCCGAGTATAAGGTTCCCGCTGCAGCCGCAGAGGTCGTCAAGCCAACGCCCTCACTCCCGCCGCAAGGCCAGGCGCACAACAGTCCACGCTCCGCCGGCCCAGGTAACGACGACAGCCTACTGGACATGTACGTTGACATGGCCGACTCGGAAGCAGGCGGCGACCTGGATACACGGGCGAGCCCGATTTCGCCTGCTGCAGAACAGTGGCCTGCGCGCACCGTATCGATGGGTGGTCCCGGGATGAACCGCGCGGCCGCTTTACCTTGGACGTCGCTGCCGCGCGAGCCCACGCTCCCACAGCGCGGCGACAGTATGGAATATGCTCCTGTTGTCGAGTCTCCGCGCCCGGACGATGACTATTACTACCCGCCGCGGCCGGCTAGCCCGGCGTGGTCGTTTGTGTCTGGCGCGAGCGTCCACTTGACGAAGAACCACCCCCGGCGGAGCCAGATGTTTGGTGGTCTGGGACAGGGTGCGGCGCCGTACTCTGGAGCGCCTCCGCCTCAGCCGCCGTATGCTTCTCCGTATGGCGGAGGCTACTACCACCACCACAACCAGCCGTATACGCCGTACGGCGGAGGTTATTACCACAATCAACAGCAAGTAGCACCGGCCGCACATATGGCGCCGGTTCCATACGGTCACGCGCCAGAACCACACCCGCAGCGGATGTCAAGCATGCGGCCGTTAGACGGAATGGTTTCGCCGCGAGATACGCCAGCACCCTCGCAGATTCAGCCACAGCATCCGCATCAGCAGCAACAGCAACATCAGCCGGTTTATCAAGCCCTACCCCATTCGGCACCCGTATCTCAACCTCAAGTCCAAGCCCCACAACCTCCGTTGCGTAACCGCTCGTCGTTCCGAACTACCTTCCAAATCACTCCACTCGGCATCACCGATCCAAGCACCGCACCGCTGGCAGCCACGGTCCCAGCGCCCGCGTTGCCCTCACCAACACCACAACCCACATCCGGCCCTTCTTCTGTTTCTTCTTCGTCATCATCGGCGGCGCCCTCGCCACTACCGCCATCACCGTTTACAGCAACACCAAACCAGTTTTACCGCCATAGCCACACGTTTGCACCGAACACGCCCATACCGCCTCCGCCCGGCGCCGCTGCCGGCGGAGTGATGTCGCACGCGCAAGCTCTGCGCCACACCACATCGCTTTCGGATTTCGCGAGTGCGGGAAGCGCGCAGCGCCCGCCGCATCTCTTGCGTCCGACTTCGCGCCGGTTGGCTAATGTGGGTGTGGGCGCGAGTCCGCCACAGCTGCAGCAACAGCTGCAGCAGCAGAAGCGGGCGAAACGCTCGTGGGGTGGGCGTGTGGCGGATTTCTTGCGGCAAGATATCTGAATGGAATGGACCACCTGTGTTGGTTTTACTATACAGTTTTTTTTTTTTTTTTTTTTAGATGCCGTTTATTTTTCTTCTCTCATACCTTATATTTTCCTTTTTTTGATTAGTTAGACATGTTTTCCTCCCCCTTTTTTGTTGTTTTTGTATGTCTGTTCTTGGAGTCGGGAAGCCCCGCTATTGAATATGAATATATTCGTTTGATACTACATTACGCTAATTTATTTACGGAGCTGTTGCAGAGGCGCTGTTCATAGTTGCCCGCAATCGGCAATTACGACCCGCTTCTTGGCCGAGCCTGATGGAGTCCCTTGCTTCTCCATTTTTCGCACCACGTCCATGCCGCTTGTGACTTCGCCAAAGACCTAAAACATACGGATGCAAATGCGCCATCTCGCGTCAAAACTCGACTGCAATAAGGTAGGCTTCGTATGTATGTATGTGTGCAACTTACGACATGCTTGTTGTCCAGCCAGCTGGTCTTTTCGAGCGTGATGAAAAACTGTGACCCGTTTGTGCCTGGCCCGGAATTTGCCATGGAGAGGGTCTGGAGAAAAGAAGAAAAACGACATTAGCGTGCTTTGCCCTTGGATTCTCTTGATGCCGCCTGCATTTCCCATACATACCCCTGATTGCACGTGTTTTAAGATAAAGTTTTCGTCTTCGAACTTGCTGCCTGTGGAAGTTATAGAGAGTTCGCGTTGGTTAGAAACGGGACACATCGGACCACTCAAACCGGGTGCTAAAAATGACACTTGCGGACACTTGGTGATGGGTAAATACATACCATATATTGATTTTCCTCCCGTGCCGTTGTGTTTTGTCATGTCACCTACAAGAGAGGGAGCATTAGCTTTTGCATGGCGAAAAAGCACTCCCCCCGAATCATGTGAAAATTCCCACCTCCTTGACACATGAATTGAGGGATAATGCGATGGAATATAGATTTCTTAAAGCCAAATCCTTTTTCGTGTGTACATCTGCGCGAGAGAAAATGTGGGTTACAGATGTTTTAAACACTGCAGTTAGTTTTAGTCGCGCTGGGAGCTCTTACAATTGCCGGAAGTTCTCTGCGGTTTCTGTAAGCGGATAGAAAAACAGAGAGCGGGACAGGAAATGTGAGCATCGTCACATTTCGGTGAGGGTTACACTGGCAGTCCTATCCTCAGTTCGACACTCACTTGGTACAACGTCCGCCCGCAACAGCATGATAATCCGCCCTGCACTTGTTCCACCAATCTCAATGTCGAAAAACACGAGCGGATTGCCTCCGGTGATTGTTGTGCCCGACGTTTTCGGTTTCTTCGCCGCTGGCGGCGCTATTAGCGCATCTGTAGTCTCTGCATCACCACCCGCTGCACCCTCCGCGATATCCCCATCGGTGTCGGCAGGAGTCTTTTCCGTGCCTCCCGCAACGTGCATTTTGAGCCACTCTTCGTCGTTCCACACGGCTTTTGTCGCAAAGGATTGTGCTTTCATTGGTCGCGCGAGGTTGACTTTAAGGACTTTGCCGTAGAGCTCGGCGCAGTCCATGTTTTCGATTGCGGCTTCTGCGTCTTCGGGAAACTCGAATTCGACAAAGCCAAAGCCGCGGTGAGGGGCTCCTGCGAAAACGGGGACGAAGACGAGTGGTCAGCTCATTTGCAGATTCCCCAAGACTCTGCTTGGACGGCGAGATGAATCTTACGGGACGACGGATCCGGGGGTATTTGCACTTCGAGGATATCGCCAAAGGGGAGGAATGCGGCATGCAGGATGGGCTCTGTGACCTGGTCGTCGAGGCCGCCTGTAGCGAAAGAACGGGAAGGAGGCCGGGCGTCAGGACATATATAGAGGATAGGTATCTCGAAAGCTTGCGCATGCATGTGCAACAATACCTGCAAAGACGGTTGTTTTGTTGTTTTTTGATATCTTGTTCATGGTTTTGCTTGCGATGATTTGATGATTGGAGAGCTGTATGTGCTGCGAGCACTGGGGGGAAGAAGCGAGGCAGCTCGTGGCGGTGCACTTGATATCACGGCCAGCGCTCACTCCTTGCTCCCTCGTCTCTCAAACAGACACGCCAGTTACGCCCAGTCCGTCGACCATCAAAGACATGCTGCAACGGAGACAAACAGGCAATAGGAGTGCCCAAGTCGCCGAGTACACACTTTGAAGTGTAAAAATATGAGTTGGATGGGCAAAAATCATGCATCAGCCGGGAATTGAACCCGGGGCTGCCGCGTGGGAGGCGGCAATTTTGCCACTAAACCACTGATGCACTTTTGGCTGAGGCGGCAGTAACTCCCAACTATGTTGTTACAACAGCATCCTATATATGGGATGGCCCAACTCACTCCCTCTTATCTCTAATCAAATCGCCACGCTCTCGCCCCGCACATCCCAGTGCTCCCACCACCTCTCCATCCGTTATTCAAAGGCTCAGAATCAACACATACTGAACGCTGGGCAGATGCTGGCAGATGCTGGTGAACACTGGCAGACGCCGCTTGGTCCCCTCATTTCAGCCGCCTGTCATTCTCGCCTCGTTCAGGTGGTAGGCATTAATACAAGGTCTTGCTGTCACTTTTACAGACTTTACCTGCTCGCTGATCTGCTACTGGGCCTGTGAACATTTACGTCAGGGAGGGAACACTGGTCGACGTCCTTTCCTCGAGGCTCCATTGTCGCGCACATGCTACCTGTCTCAGCTTCGACGCCGAAGCGAAGGAAGACTGAAGCAGCACAGCTTCAGCGTCGGAGCTGAGGAAGGTAAGGACTGCACTTCTTTGCTGCTACTTAAGTGCAAATGGGACGCAGCCTCCTTCCACACAACGTTAGAAACGCTGAGCCTGCGCATCGTCGGCCTGGGAAAGCGGTCTCGTTGTGATCAACGGGGAAGCGGAGCAGCTCTTGTCACTTGCGCCGCCGCACATCTTTCCGGGTCTGGAACACCCCGGGTTCGACAGCGTTTCGCTTATTAGGATTTTCAAGCCGAGGAACGCGAGCTGCCGGCTCGCGCGTAAAATCGTCGAAGGCTTGTTAGGCACCATCTACTCCGCGGTCGCAATTTTTTTGCATTATTTTCGAGACTCATTGCATAGCAGATTTCCAGCGTGGCGACAACACACCAAACACATCTTAATACAGTTTTGCGAACTCATACGAGCTACATCCTCGTCTCAGGCGGAGGCCTCGCGAAAGCTTCTGCTCAGGAGGCCAACTTAACTCGTCTTCAGAGAAGAATTGCGGATCTGCCGTTGTTACGCTCACAAGCATTTCACCCACCGCCACGGCGGCGAGCGAAGTACTTGAGAGCGTGACACCATCTGGCGATCAACGATACTCGCCACGCCAACAAAAGACGGCATAACTCATGCTCGCGTTGGGACCACGCGGAATAATCTCCTCCAATTATCTCAACTTTTGGATCGACACGCCACGTCCTGGAGGCGCATCTCCGCGACAGCGGTCTTTCTTGGACATTGGAGAAGGGACCGAGCTTTGATCTTCGCGCTCGCCGCAGTTGAACGGCTATACGGAGAATTGCCCTGCCAAGGCCGGGCGTCATGACATAGCCGTGATACGGGATACGTGGCATTGCACCGGTGTACCTTTCCCCCTTCGGTACCATATGTACGTCGAAGTGCACGAAATACGCCCGGGCGAGGATCTCGAGCGAATCAGGAATCAGATCGGGCCTTACTTCCAAGGGCAGGAGCAGGAGGAAGGGGCGGAGAGTCCGGGGCCAAGCGGCAGCAGGGACATCGAGGGGTCGGCGGAACCGAGCTCGGCGGACGAGGAAGCGCAATGGGAGGCGCAACAGCTGGAGCTGGCAGCAAAAGGAAAGGCGGCGGAGGGTGCAGGTGACCGGAAGGGCAAGGGGATAGCCCAGGGTACCGTGTTTGCTACGCATTCACCTTTAACGGCTTGATCAGCTGGAAGGTCCAGCGGCAGAAAACGGTCGCCCTATCGTCGACAGAGGCGGAATACGTTGCGCTAACGCAAGCGGGGAAAGAAGCCGTCTGGCTGCGCAGCATTCTCACCGACTTGGGCATTAAAATCGAAGAATCAACGACGATCTATGAGGATAATCAAGGATCGATCGCTTTATCCAAGAACCCGGTCTATCACGGACGCACGAAGCACATCGACATACAGCACGGAAGCAGCAGCGGCGGGGTTCGTGGCGCAGAAGGCCGTGAAGGACGGAAAGGGAAAGCAGAAAGGCAAAACGCACACGGTGATCAGAGGGTCTCCCAGTACTGGTTGCGTGGGCGCTTCCCGCCAAGGGAGGGCACCCCAATGTCTACCGACGAACCGGTGGAGAGCGTAGCGGGCAGCGCTGCAGGAGAGCGGGAGGAGTCACCAATGTCGCTGGATGTGCCCGTGCAGTCGCCCGCTGAGGTGGAAGTCCCCGTGAGCAGGGCTTTAATACGTGAGGAACTCACAATCGAAACGGAGAGCGAGGGATCGTTTGCGCCTTTGTCGGACGAGGAAGAAGATACGGAATAATAGAGCATTCGACGAAGCGGTAGCAGTAGTCACAGCAGTAGTGTGCGTCGCAAATGAACAATAGAATGAGAGTGATATCCAGGAGAAAATCCAGCGGGAAACCTGCAACCCAGGGTACCGTGTTTGCCAATTCGGAGGCGGCAGCGGCCGGGTTTGTGGCGGAGAAGACCGTGAAGGACGCGCAGGAGCAACAGAAGGGGAAATTGCGCACGGTCAGACAAAGGTTCTCCCGGTACTGGTTGCGTGGTCGGGAGATCCCGAAGGAAGGATCGCCCATGTCCCTAGACGAACCAGCGGGTAGCGCAGCAGGGAGTTCGGCGGCGGAACGTGAGCTATCGCCGATGTCGATTGATTTGTCGGTCCACTCCACTTTTGGAGGCGGAACCTGAGATCAGGCTGCCTGCGAGGGGGGTCAAGTTGGTCATAGATGAGGAAGAGGAGGACACAAAAGATGTACTTGGTCGTGCGGAGAGGTTTTCAAATGAAATGATTGTGATATATATTTTGTACATATTGTGGTGTTCGCCAGCGGGTCCACGTTGTGCGTGTGCGCCCGTTTTACATGGTATACAGGCGCGTTCGAGTGCAAGCTAATCCCAGCAACGCCTGACACGTTAGCCGAGTATCGGGTCGCAATATAAGAAAATAGCTGCGGGTCGATCTGTTCTCTGGTTTCTGGGCGAGCGCGGACCTCCCTCATTCGCTATTCGAAAAAGCCACGCTATTATGCAGATCCGGACCAGCGGCTGAGCTCATCACTGCGACATCCTCGTCATCGGGGGATTCTGCATGAGGTCACCGCGCCCGACCTGAGGTTGATGAGAAAGACTGACGAGCGCCATAGCAGCGAGATTGTGATGACTGCTAACGACTGCTGGCGGCACCAGTGCTATAGCTGCGAGATTGTTTTGACTGGTAACGACTGCTGGTGGCAGTGACGGCGGCGGTCTGAGGATGCTGTCGGGCGACGACATTGCGATCTGTCGAAGCATGAAATCGTGTTGAAGCATAAGGTGACGCATAATCATTTGCAGTCCGAGGGTGTTCGGCTCAGTCGCGGCTGCGACGCCAATGTGCGGATTCGGGAACGGTGGTGGTCCGCTGTTGATGGTCTCGACGCGCGCTCGTAATGGCGGTCGGGGAGCAGCCGGTTCTGCGAGCTGGTTTTTGCTCGCGGTTACCCTTCTCTTCTTGGGCTTTGGCTGCCCGTCATCATCACCCGTTTCCTCCAATGGCTTCTTCATCGAGTTTGGGACATCATCGTGCGCGTGCTTGGCCCGCTCACTTCCGTCTTCATCGTCGTCACTAATGACTACTACAAATTCATCCTTGACTTTCGGGTTGTCATTGATGACCTCCTCGTCTTCATTCTCGCTCTCCATCCCGTCATGTTCATGATTGTTCTCAAAATCATGCTCGTCCGCGTCCTCGTCCTCGCTTTCATTTTTGGTTTCACCCTCATTGCGTTCTTGATTCTCCCTTTCTGCCCTCCTCTGTCGCCTTAGTCGTATCCGTTTTCTTCGGTTCATGAACCAAACGTCAATCTCACTCAACGACAGGCTCGTTTCGTTCACCAGCCGAGCCCGCTCGATAGGTGACGGCCGCGGGCTGACATCAAAGCTGGCATTTAGCAAAGCGAGGTCCTTGGGTTGCTTTTTGGTCCTAGTTATGCCCGTGGTGATGGTCGAAATGCGGTGCGAAAAGTTTGTGGGCGTGGCAACATTCCACGTGCGAATCTTTCGGTCGTCGTCATGGTCGAGCAGCGGCGGGATGTTGACGATGGTGGGAGGAGCCGCTGGGTTGAGCGGGAGTCTGATGGCGGTGTTTGGGATTATGGCGACCGTAGGAGCGGCGCTGGCGGGGTGAGCTGAGGACACGCCGAGGCTCGCGGCCAGCGCGTTCCAAGGGTCGGCATCCGCAACAGCACCTGGAGTGGCAGTCGCAGCAGGATCCGCACGAGCAGAAATCGCTGGTGGTTCGGCGGCTAGCGGGACAGCGGCCGGTGCTGCGTCGCCCGAGTCGTCGGCCATGCCAGTGCGGAATGTCTTCAATGAGAGAAAGAATGTCCCAACCTTCATGAACACGCGTCCGACAATTGACATCTTCAACGCTCTCCTCTCATTCGCAGCAATCGGCATCCTAGTGCTGCCCCTCCCGCCCTTTCACCGGAACTCCTCTTGGCCCCGCTACCGATTGCCCCCGCTTCTCCTTCCCGCATCAATTTTTGCCGAGCGCCTGCTTCATTGAACGAGAGGCATAATGACGACAGGACCGCTCAAAGAGGGTGAGTGTTTTACAAGAATGAGCCCTTTCAGCACTGGTTCACAGCTGACGGTCTCCTCCCCGCTACAGCGTTTGCCCTCTACGACCAGCTTAAGAAAGAGTTTACGTCGCCAAAAGCCGACATTGCAAAGTGTGGCCAGTACCTCGCAAAGCTGAAGGTTTGAGCACGGACGAGGAGTAGCGAGGGCGACGAACCAGCCAGGCGTGGACAATCCATATATTGGGAGCTCCCTGCTCATTTTCATGCGCATGTTCCTTTTGCATTTTCTTTAGATCTATCTTACGGAGCTGTCGTTCTTGTTGCCGGGAGAGCGCGCGGCGAGCGCCGAGGAACTGCTGCTTGCGCGTACGTTTTCTCTTGACAATTTGAGCGCTGCGCGATTGGGGCTCCCTGCCATTCTGTAGTCTTTGAGGCCGCCGTTGCTGACTCGTGACTTTGCCTTTGCAGGGGAGGTGTTGGAGACTGGAGCGCAGTGGAGCATT